AATGCTCCATTTTTCTTTATTAATTTATTTGTACTGGATATGTATTTATTAATTTTGACATACTTTTTTAATTTTTTTTTTACTACAATTTAAAGCTAAAGCTGTTGAATTAAATGAGTTACTTTCACAAGTCAGATCAGTGGTGATTGGTTCTGAACAGGAGGGTGGTACAGCACAGACCATTGTGGGAGCACTGCTGATCAGCTCATCAAATAGGGACTGCGACTGTGTTGACTGTTGTTCGTCCCTTGCTTGTTCCATTATAGTTATTTGATTGTATGCGTCTCGTAGGTCACATTCTAATGAAGAAATGCGTGCAAGGGCTTCTTCGAATGCGCTGCTGCTTTAGTCGAATCCATCTACCACAATCTGTAGCTGGTCTCTTTGGTACTGTACCTCCGTAATTTGTATAAGCAATTCAGCCATATCACTTTTTAATTGCCTATTCCTATCTAAAATGTCCAATATTTCCTTTTCACTATCGTTTCTTTCTGTTAGCAATTGCTCATTCAGTGCCTTTGCTGTTTTGAGTTCTAATAAAGCGTGTTGGAGTTTATCCTCCAATTGACGTTCCGCAGCAGCTTTGCGTGTAAACATTGTGTATGCTTTTGAAAAACAAAATGAAAACAATTTGAAAGAACGTTAGCAAGAAAGACAGCTGATCGAGCGATTACTAAATAGTGAGGTTATGTTACTTACAATTTATCCCTACAAAGACTAAATATTAGACAAAATAACCACTCTTCAGTTATATTATAAGTTTAACTACCTATTTATCTTAATAATTATGGAAATACTTACGAAATAGCACAGAATTTTTAAACACAAATTCGTAACGGCTATCTTTCCAAAGTGACTAGAAAATGCTCAAATTACCTTTAACCTCGATAATTACTGTTGCAGTTGTGTAACAATGAACTTAATTGATAAATGTGATTTGCAAACACTGATATTATTTCACATAAGACACTTTTTGAAAAGTATTAGGCCGGTTAACCTGACTGTTTTCAACGTCACTTTGTTTACTTACTCAACCTGATCAAATCACTATGTATGCACTTAAAAACTGTATAAGTATATTTTGTAATGATATTATTCAGCAATGAAATGGGGTTTTACAAGAATAACACGATAAAAACAATTAAATTTAAAATAAAATTACGGGACACTTAAGTTTACAACTTAACCGCTGTGTTGCCAGCCCAAAAAAAAAAAGCCGGCCGGATGCATTGCCTCCATGAAGCACACACGTTCTTCGAGTTGCCTACCACAAAGTGCCGGTACTGGTTTACCTCGTTTAGCCTCGTATAACCGTGCCGTCTCCCGAACACGAAGGTCCAGCGGCAGAAGACCCGTGAGAACCAGTGCTGCGTTTAAAGAGACTGTACGATATGATTTGCAGATCTTCTGTGCAAACCCTCTCTGTATGGTGTTGAGTTGTTTTTGCACCATAGCTTTATCTGCTGCTGGTGCCCACACGCTGGACGCGTAGAGTATAACAGGCTCTATCACTGCAACGTAAATGGTCCTGATAATCTCTGGGTTTAGTCCCCAATCAATTTTTGCTGTTCTAGCTAGTTGTTTATATAAATTAGCCGCTTTTTTACAAATTTTTGCTACATGAGTGTTAAATGTTAGTTTTTTGTCTATCGTGAGTCCTAATAGTTTGATTTCATCTGCAATTTTGATATCTGTCTCGTCTTGTGCGGAGCAAACTTCAGTTTGTTTTTGACTCCCCATTCGTGCACATGTGCCAGGGCCAGATTTGCGTCGTTCTGTATTTTATCAATTTTGTACCCAGAGAATATCACGACCACATCATCTGCAAAGGCCTGGCAGTACACTCCCTTTACCTCCAGCTCATCGAGCAAAGGATCCAAAAGAATATTCCAAAATGTTGGTCCGGCAATGGAGTCCTTCAGTGGCTCTCTCGCATTGCCTCCCCGCGTATCGTACAATGACTCTCCGGTCTTTAAAGTCGTTAAAGTTAATGAGTCGGCGGAGGTTTTGAGGACACTTCTTTTCTAGAATTTGGCATTTCACTGCTGGCCACCACGCGCTGTCGAAAGCGCCCTCGATATCCAAGGACACAACAACATTGATTTCTTTCCCTACTAGGTTATCTCTAATGTGTTGCATCAAGTCGTACAAAGCGTCTTCCGTACAGCGCTGTGGAACAAAGCCATACTGCCGAGGATTTGCTCGAGGTAATAGGTGCCATCGGATTCTCCGCACCATCATTTTTTCCAGTACTTTTCCCAGGACCGACAGTAGCCCTATTGGTCGATATGACTTGACGTCGTTATAGTTAGTCTTGCCAGGCTTCCGCAATACCACAATAGCTGCCTCCTTCCAAACTGCCGGGAAACAGGCCAGCTCCAGACATTTATTGGCGATTCGCAGGAATACGCGGGCATCTGTATAAATTGCCCGAAGGCAAATATCCGCCGTAAAGCCGTCCAGACCAGGGGCTTTCTTGGGATTAAAACTGTCTATTGCGTACTTAAGTTCAGCTTCTGTGAAAGGTGGATCCTGTGTGTCAGCCGGTAAGTCATGTCCACAAATGTTGGCTATATTGCGAATACTTTTATGCTCCAGGTTGTCCTCTTCTATGTTGTCATCTGGAAAGAAGGAGCTTGCTAGGTGTTTAACAGACTCATCCGAGTTCATTACGTTTCCATCCTTCACTAGAAGCTGGTCTTCATGCCTCTTTGATGTTTTCCCTATTACTCGATAAATCCCATCCCATAAGCTCTCTCGGTCCTGTTTCGTACAAAAGCGTTTCCAACTATTTGTCTGTGCCTTTATTGTTTCTTCTTCATATTTTCTTTTTGCTTTCAGGTAGTCGTCCACAACGTGTTTTCGCCTACGGGGAGCTGCGCACGCAATCCGTCTCTTTATCGTGGTTGTTACTTTTCTCAGCTGTTCCAGGTCATCCGTCCACCAAGGTAAGTTTATTTTAGATTTAATTTTAATTAATGGTATATTTTTATTGCTTACTTCTTTTATTAGTTTAATGTATTTACTTATTGAACGTTCTAACTCTACTATTGTTTTGGTTTTGTTAATTTCCTCTAATATTCCTATTCCCTCCCCTAGTTTTTCCTTTAAGTCCTGTCTAAACGTCACCCAATCTGCTTTTTTTGTATTATATATCCTAGTTGTGTTTCTTTTCCTTTTTTCTGTAGGTTTGCTGAGTTCAACTCTAAAGGTGATCGCGTTGTGATCCGAGCTGGTCACTGTTTTATCAATTCTCCAGTCCTGCACTTTTGATAGCATTCCAATAGAGCAAGCCGTGATGTCAACGTTACTTTTAAAAATGTTCCCCCCTCTAATTGTGTAAAATGTAGGTTCTGTACCTTGGTTTAAGATGTGCATATCCATTTCATCCAGCGCGCCTCTCACCGCTTCTCCTCTTGCGTCTTCTCTTTCACTACCCCACCACGTACTCCACGCGTTCACGTCTCCTCCTATGATTATGTTACTTAACTGCAGAGTAGTGCATATGTGGTGAATTCTGTCTAAATAGGGTTCTATCGGTTGGGTGTC